GGGTCATACCTCCACATAACTTCGCTGCAATGCGCGACCCTATCCAAATACTGGCCCACATGAGACACCTCCAGTCACTATGCTCAAATCGACAACCACGCGCAATTTGATGTCTAGTACCCAAGCAAATCATCATAACCACGGTGAAGCAATTGACGTAACATTACACAAACCTGAAAGGACACAACCGATACACCATCCACCGAGCAATACCCAATACTCTTCCTGCTCGAATCTCACTAAGAGACCTAATAAAAACCGCACTGCCTATAACTAACAAATCCTAACGCCTCGCAACACAGGAACGTAACTCATAGATCTCCCCAGATCACTAATAGCTCAATAACAATCGAATCAACACATTCCTCAACAATACAACTCGAAGTCAACCAAACCGAATCAATGTAGAACACACATCCATATTGCCTACCAAATAACCCCTTATCATGGAGTTCCTGAAGCTGCTCATTCAACTCCTTTAACTCCGCCGGTGCCATACGATACGGTGCCCGACACCAAATCAATATCGAAATCAACAACTCTGTCCGGCGACATGCCCGACAACAGGAAACACATCCGAAAAAATCCCTCACCACCGGAACTGAGTCAATGGTAGGAGTCTCTGCACTGACATCCACAGAAAGTGAGGACGGAATGATCTCTCTCGGCGCACTTTAAGCAGAATTTGCTAACGTGCACGGGCATCATGAAAATTCCGGCCACCACCGCCATAACGCCATCGGCGAGCTTAGTCACACCAAGTACTACTGTACCAGCGCTTGCAAAGCCATTAACCTTTGGAAGTTTCCTTCCAATTCGATTTCAAACCATAGATGAAGAACCGGCTGAGGACGAAGCAAATGGAAAACAAAATCTAGCTATGAAACGAGTGGTGAGAAGAACAGGTGAAGAAGTTCCACGCCGGCTCCAATTTTCTGACGTAGCCAACAGTACAGCAAAAGCTCCAGCCATAATTCAGGAACCTACACCAATGGAGCAGGAACCAATGGAACAGGAACTAGTTAAACGAGATAACAGGAATGAGGAGAAGCCATATAGGAGGAATCGTAGAGTCCAAATGGGGAAAGCTCTCAACTACATTCCACCAGATCTACAAGGGGATACAATTGTAGTAACAATTGAAGAGGAAGACATCAAAGAACAACAGAATTACTGGGCTACTGCACTCATTGGGTACGTATTGGGTGAGAATCCATACTTTAAATCCATGGAGAACTATGTTGAAAATGTGTGGGATTTTGTTGATACTCCAAAGATACTGTACCACGATGAGGGTTACTACATATTTAGATTTGATTCAATTGAAGATAGAGACAAAATCATGCAATTAGGACCTTATTTTTTTCATAATAAGCCATTTATATTGAAGAATTGGTCGCTTGATTTTGTTTTTAATCCGGAGTGTTTGAATGTTATTCCAATTTGGGTAAGATTTCCAAACCTTCCTGTGGGATTTTGGTCAGCTGAGGCCCTAAGCAAAATGGCAAGTGGTATAGGTAAGCCAATGTATACAGATCTATATACTGCTGAGATGGATAGAATTTCATATGCAAGAGTCCTTGTGGAGGCAGATATCTCTCATCCTTTGCCAAATGATATTCTACTTCGTACTCCAGTAGGAGTAATTAATCAAAATATAGAATATGAATGGAAGCCTAAGTTTTGTATGGGTTGTATAAAGGTCGGACATACTACAGAGGAATGTAGTCAGAACAAGGAAGAAGGAGAAGCTGGAGAATATGTAGAACAGAACAAAACAAGGAGAAGAGGCAGAAGAAGAAGAAGAGTGGAAACTAAGTGGACAGCAAAAGAGGTGCCTGAACCAAAAAGTGGGGAAGCTGAGAATGCAAATATGACTGAGGAAACTGCAGTAGAAGAACAAAGTAAAGGCAGGCAGCTAGATATCAATGAATTTCCACCACTCTCAGTAATAAGGAGTGAGAGGAATTATGATCAGAGAACTCTAGTGTCTACAAGGGATGAGCCAAGCTGTTCTACTAGCCAAATCAATACCACAAATAGATTTGATGTTTTGAATCAAAGTGGTAATGCAACTGACACTGGGCAGGGTGGACAAAACCACCCTACACCTCAATAATTCTCAGCACCTGGAACATAAGAGGGCTGAATAAGCCCTTTAAACAGAAGGAGTTGATGCTCTTTCTGAAGAAGTATAAGATAGAGATAATGGGACTAGTTGAGACAAGGGTGAAAGAAAACAAGGCAAAAAGAATAGCTCTGAAAACAGTGAAGGATTGGAAAGTAAAGTTCAACTATGAATGCACATATAATGGAAGAATATGGTTAATGTGGAGGCCTCATGTTCATCTCCGAGATCCTGAAGTATTGAAAGCACTAATTTATTCATTGTGAAGTGGAGGACATGTCAGGCAGAGTAAATGGTTTTTCACTGTGATCTATGCTTATATATAATGAATGGAACTCTAAGACAGCAATAATGGGAGCCAGCTTGTTGGTATAGGATCCAATATCACTGATGAATGGCTAATTAGTGGTGACTTCAACAATGTCTTACATTCAGATGATAGAATAGGAGCTCCTATAACCCAGGCAGAGATCCAAGGGTTCAAAGAATTCTTGGATAAAATGCAGCTAACCCCCTTGAAGAGCACAGGATGGTATTATACTTGGTGTAATAAAAGGGATGAGAATGTGAGGGTGTATAGTAAAATAGATTGGGCATTTGGAAATTTCAGCTGGATGATGAATAATGGGCATACTGAAGCAGAGTTCCTAAATCCTGGGGTATCTGATCATTCCCCTATCTTGATGAACTGCAGAACTGACATCATTCAACATCAATTACATCCTAGACCATTCAGCTATAACCATAACTGTCCTTCACCACCCTGACCTCAAAAGGTAGTGAAAGAAGTATGGGGGCAATATGAGTGGTGTTCCAGGAAAGTCAAGGACCATGGAACAAGCTTAGGAGGCTGAAAGTGGCTATAAAGGAACTGAAAACTATATGGCAACTTACCAGCAAAAACTGAGTCAAGCAAAACAAAGGTTGGAACTGGTACAACATAACTGTCTATCCAGCTTCTAAGACAGGAATACATGGATGAAGAGAAAGGAAGCATTTGCTAGAAATGGAGAAATGGAGCAATATTGAGGAGCAGGTGATGAGGCAGAAGTCTAGAGCTAACTGGGATTCAACATGGAGATGCCAACACCAAAATATTCCATGCTCCAATGGAAAATGCGTACTAACAATAATGCTATTGTCTCTATTCACAATGAGCAAGTATCAAAATAACAGATACCAAAGCAGGTGGAGGAACAATTTTTGGGATTTTTCAAGTCACTAATGGAGAGAGTCCTCACAAGTACAACCATGCCCAGATGCTGAGGTAATTAAAAAGGGACCTTGTTTAACAAGGACACAACAACTGGAGATGATTAAGCCAATCAAAGAGGAAGAGATATTGGAGGCCATTTAAAGTATGTCAACTGATAAAGCCCCAGGAGTAGATGGTTTTCCAGTGGAATTCTACACAAGTCAATGGGAGGTGATAAAAGCAGATGTGATAGCAAATGTCCTGGACTTCCTTTTGAGACAGGAAAGATGCCAAAGGCCATAAACAAGTACTGCTATAATCTTATTCCTAAAGTTCCTAATCCTATCAGGTTACAGGACTTGGCCAATTAGGCAGTGCTCGCACTACCATCTTCAAGATAATTTACAAGAATCATAACTGGGGAGATTTTAAAAAGCAGTAATGAACTATTTCAGTAGGAGACTTCTTTTCCAAAAAAAATCAATTTCTTTCATTGAAGGAAGAATATACACTGATAACATCCTTTTAACTCATGAGCCTTTTCAAAAGGCTATACCTAGGAAAGCATAGTTGCAAGATGTATCCTCAGGTTAGATCTGAGCAAAGCCATATGATACTTTGGATTGGTTGCTATTTGAAAAGGTATTTGAATAGTCGTGGGATTTCACAAAATTTGTATGCTGGATTATGGAATGTATAACAACTGTATCCTACTCTTTGACCTTAAATGGAGGTCTTACAAAGCCATTTGAAGGCAAAAGGGGGATAAGGCAGGGAGATCCTATGTCACCCTACTTATTTGTGATAGCTATGGAGTACCTGCAAAGAGAACTTAGTATTCTGGCAGCAAATAAAGAATTCCATTTTCATCCAAGATGCAAAAAGCTAAGAGTAATGCATGTGTGCTTTGCAGATGATTTATTGATTTTCTGCAGAGCTGATCTAAAGTCAGTGAAACTACTGCAGAATGCTTTCTTGAAGTTCTCAAATGCATCAGGGTTACAAGCAAATCCAGAGAAAAGCTCTGTATATATTGCAGGCACAACTGAAAGGATTAAAAGTCTTATACTGCAGGAATTGGACTACACTGAAGGCACCTTACCCTTCAAATATTTAGGGGTCCCCTTAGCTCCCAAAAAGCTATCTACTCATCAGTGCTGGCCATTGGTTGAAAAGATTACTGCAAGAATCAGCTGCTGGACTTCAAAACTATTATCATATGCTGGAAGATTGCAACTCATCAAGTCAGTAATCTTTGGGATGCAGTCTTACTGGGCTCAGGTGTTTTTACTACCAAAGAAGATCAGCAAAATGATAGAGGCTGTCTGCAGAACATACCTATGGACTGGGCAGGCTGACATCTCCAGGAGAGCTTTGGTAGCATGGGATAGAATTTGCTTACCACAAACAATGGGAGGATTGAATGTGATAAATCTATGCCACTGGAACAAAGCTGCAATAATGAAGCATTTATGGGCAATCACTAAGAAAAAAGACTGTTTGTGGATTAGATGGGTCCATACTTACTACATAAAAAACAGGAGCATTGACACTATGCCTATACCTAAGAATGCACTTGGGTTGTAAGGAAAATTATTGAACAAAGGAAGTTCATACTGAACATACCAGCTTTACAAGGTAATGTGCATGAAAGACTGGAATCTCTGCAAAGTACAAATGGTAAAATTCAGTATCAAGAAGCTTTATAACTTGCAAACTCCTCAGGGACAGAAGGTATTCTGGAAAAACTTGATCTTACACCCTCACATTCATCCAAGACACAAGTTTAACATGTGGTTGGCCATCCATAGAAGATTACCAACTGTGGATAGGTTGCAGAGAATAGGAATTCAAGTTGACTCAATGTGTGTTTTCTGTGGTCAGACAGAAGAACTATTGGAACATCTCTTCTTTGAATGCTCATACACAAGCTCTATCTGGAAAAGACTGCTAAACTGGATGGGAATTCAAAGACAAATCCAACCTTGGGAGGAGGAACTACAATGGATGACTTATCAGGCAAGGAAGAAGAAAGGGATTGGCAATATCATTTCAGCTGTCTTTGGCATGCTGCTGTACAGTATATGGAGAGACAGAAATGCAATCAGATTTAACAGTGGATGCACCTCAGCGGAGCAAATATGCAGAGAGATTACCTCATACATCCATATCAAGAGCCATGTACACAGCAGTTGGAGGAGCTATATGGAAGATTTAGATAGATATCCGTAATTTTTTTAAGTGTATTTCTGTTATGCTAGACTCTTGCTAGTAGCATGTGTATAAAACGTTATAGCTTGCAGTATAGTAACTAGTATAGAGTATAGAGAGATATCTTTTAGATATAGAAGTGAAGTATAGTCTAAGTCAAGGAGCTGGTCGGCAGATCCTGTTATGTACAGAATAATTTTTTTGATGAATGAAAACATTAGTTTATCAAATAAAAAAACAATCCTTCCCAGCCATCCGCTGGGTCTTCCAAATGCAACCACCCTACTGGGAATATAATCCGTCGAACCACGCCACTCAATCCGTGGAATTCCCGGTATGGCCAACAACGTCGTCCTAGCACAACAGTCCAGAATAACACGACAGTGAAACAACCAGTCTATAGCCAATATCACATCCAAAATCCAACATAACAAGCAAGAAAGATCTACTCGGCTCTTCAAACCTCCAATAGTTACCACACAAGACCGATATACGCGGTCCACAACCACGACCTATCCTGTTTATGAGAACCCTCGGTATCCAAATCCACAAAGCACGCGAATCACCGTATACGATCCCAAGTCCACCGTCCGAATACACTACACTCCACTAATACCCAATCCTCCAACGAGGGGTACTCCTATAATTCTTCTATTCTACCAAACAAACTTGAATATCAGCAGTCGATCCAACAAGAGAGTGCCACAATACCAATGAAGTATCCCTAACTCGACACATCGCCCTTTCTGAAATACATACCCTCATCAAGCCATACCAATCGGTACTATCATTTCCTCAATATTCTGAGACTGTCCGTGCTGCCTATGAATTTATGACCTTCCTTTAGAATTGAACCGTGACCTTACACATGCAAATCTCGCCCTACACAACATACTGCATATACCATACCACCCTAGGATAAACACGAGAACGTCATATCTATTTCGAGCCACACGCAATTACACACTCAACTAGCCAAGAACTTTCAATTGATCCCATCTAGAAGAAAATCACTACACATCCCATGCTCCTCACGCTCGTAGCAAATATATATCTCTAACCGTAGTAGAAACAATCAAGAACTCTCTGAATCCCATTTGCACAAAACCAAACTGTCAGGACTGAATCGTTCTAACTCAACCAAGCTACGCAGATCACGAAAACCCAAGAGCATTGCCACGAAAACACCTGTAGAAAATCATCACCTCGTAAGCGCCCAAAGAACTAATCATATCCTTACCATGTCGATCCGGCCTACTACCAAGCTATCCCATCTATCCAAGTTCCTTCTGATTCACCTTCAACTTGATACTTCTTCTCACTATAACACCACAATTTCCTCAACCCAGACTCACCCCACGAGACCCAAGCATGAAACCACACCGTCTAAGGCTCATAAGCTGCTGAATATTCTCTTAAATATTCCCAAAAACACCACATTCAAAATACCTACCCTGAAGAGACTTCCTGCGAATCCAAAGCTTACCTTCGCCTTCGTGCTACTAGTATATAGAATCCCATAATGATATAGAGATACCGTGAGTCTTTACATCCTCCAATGCAAACCTCAGTTTCTAGCTAAACATACAACTTGAAAATCTCTAATTATTACAGGTAAGATCTTGAACCCTTTAGAACCACTCTACTCGAACCGCAATTAGACCGATCAAACGGATCGGACGACCTGTGCTCCATTAGCACCC